AGAGCCCTACTAGAGCGGCTTTCCTTTGAAGGGCCACACAGTCTTCCTGCTTCTCCTTAGTCATCCCTGCTTGTAAGTAATTCTTGGTTAAGCTGTATTTCAGGTGGCGCTACCTCTGCATATGGCACTGATAGCAGATGAGTGCATTGAAATGAGACGTCTCCTCCTCTGCTAACGGCATTCAGGTTCGAATCAACAAGACTATGAAGATTTTTTCTATAGTTGCGAATGGCATGGTTTGCACATTCCACCTTTTTTACCCGTCTGCCAAATGGCACTTCTTCGATGATTTTAGCCATGGTATTGGAATCTCCGTCGCCAATGAGGCCAACATATCTCACACCAAGCATTGCTTCACTAGTATTGCTTCACTACACGCAAAACCTGAAGCTACAATGTCAGCCTCCATTGCTCCCGAGGAAGCGTTCCAGTTCTTGAAGCACTGATGTTCTTTGGCCTGTTCATGCTTGCCCTCTGCAACGGCACACACTGCGCAAAACTTGTTTCTCTCACCAATAGACAGAAGCTTCTTTGTGTGCTTTCCAATGATCACTCCAACTCCACTCTTTGCATTGTACCTGTGGCTGTGATTTACCTTTGTAACTTTCCCTCAGCGGCCAATGCTGTCCTCTTCCAGGCCTCCAGTTCAGCTCGCAGGCTTGCCATTGACGTTTTCCTTGGCACCTACGTTTTAGGAGTTTGGAAATAAGCTGAATTTTGACTCTATAATAATATAGTTGTTAAGTACAGTGAGCAGCATTTACACGTGTAAGGCATCCTATATAAACGCAAGGATTCTCTACACAAAAGTGTAGTGGGCACAGTGAGGGCTTAAATAATATACTTTCTCGCAAACATGCTTAAAATATCAAAACACAATAATAAACTTCCATTCATTCATATACAACCATGCAGTGATGATAGCAATGATTGACTGTATTGACTGATAACTGCCAGAAAATGAAAATGTTGATTAAACTGATTGACCCCCATCCCCCCATGTGGAGGGGAATGTACAACAGTTACATATTTACATATGGCATCAGAATAAAGTTAAGAATGGCACAAGTAACTACAATGCCTTGGTTGGTTTTAATGCATTTCGAAACATGTATTATCATTATCATCAGTTCTTCTCCGTTCAAAATATTCGTTTATATATACAGTACATACCAGCTGAAGCCCCTTCTTATATTCGCCTATTATGAGACTGGGATGAGACTGTAACAGGTGGAATGCTAACCCACACCTGCGGAGCTTTTTGCCACAAATGTGGCACATCTCATCGCATGTAGGGGAGGTTGTCATTTCTTCAGCGTTTAAAAGTGAAAGCATGCTGTTGGATGGTGAGCTGTTATTGGATGTTAGCAGTTGGTGGATGTTCCGAGGTGCAGTGTTAGAGGGTGTCCTGGTACTGAGAGGTGAATTGTTAGACTGGAGCAAATGGTGACAGGTGGATGGATCTTGCTGGGTGAGCGGATGGTGATGCTGTCAGTATTGTCAGTACTGTTTATGTCTGTGCCACCAACTTCTGGCAAAGGTGGGGTTCCTCCTCCATCTTCGACCTCAAACACCTGTAACATACATGTACAATTGATAAGTAGTTCAACCAATGCTATCAAAGTCATCAGGGCAAGATATACAACGTCTGTATGTAGGTTAAAGGGGCACTAACATTTTGCACCGAAAACTGACATACTTTAATTGAAAAATCTTTGAGATTGAAATTTACTTCCACCTATCATCATGTTTGTGTAATTTCTGACATTTGTGGTTGGTGTTAAAATAGTCCACACATTTGGAGGCGGCACCACAAGATCACCAGCTCCTCCTTCAAGTGCAAGCCACGAGCGCTGGTAGAGGACCTAATTATACTTCCTGGAGGTTATGTTCTACAATCAGTGCAATAAGTACTCCCAGTGGCTGCCCCTCTCAGTGCACAAGATCACCAGTTCCTTCTTCAAATGCAAGCCACGAGCGTACAATACAGGATTTGTGTCAATTGGCACAAGTGCCGCGAAGTGGTTTAGTCTCGTTTTTTAAAGAGAATTAGTTACTTTTTCTATGTAGAGATTAGTTTTTGATAACGTACCTACATATTTATAATTGGAATGGTAATCTGTGTCATAGGGCTATACTGTGTAGCACATAAGGCAACTAATTCTGAGACTAAAAACAAAAGAAAAATGGCGTCTGTCTACATCATCAGAATTTCAGCACTAAGGCAACTTATGACATTTTTCAATTGGATTTGGATTACATGATGCAGAACATTTTGCTTTTCTTGTGTAATAAACAAGGTTACAAAAATTCAACTTACTTCTTACAAAGTGTGAAATTGTCAGTATATATGTCCCAGACTTGTTCGTTTGTTTTTTTACTGGGACAATTATGACTATACGAGAATAACTTGTGAGTACAGTACTTAAAAAATTTTTTACTTGCGACCCACGCAAAGGCGTGACCATTGCAAGTGGGTTCCTAGCATAGTTTGAAAGGAAAGTAAACAATTTGATCACACTAAACACAATAATGTTAATAGGACTTAGATAGATCAACCAAACAAAGATGTTGATACTTTTTTTCGATAGTTTGTGGGGAAAATTTGGATTTTGGCACCTTTATATTGCAATCTTGCAAGTACTCGGCTGGCTCAGTATACACGTTTCTCAAATAAAAAAACTTGGGTATCATTTTAAACTGTTAAATAAAGCCTAGAAAATTATGTTTTTCCTGTTTCCGTCCTGAAACAATGCAGCATTTTCGCCTCATCTGATTTGCAAAAAAAAAAAAAGAATCCTGAATCAACTCAAAAATGCTCATACTAGTAGTAACTAAAACAGGCAGCACTTTAATTATGGAAAAACACTTTAATTATGGACTCCTCGCTAATAACTCTAAATTGCTTTACCCAATTAGGTTTATATTTTTCCTGAGTACATAGTAGAAGGTGACAAATATGTGGAATGTGTTAATTAGTCCCTAGGGCATAGTCCAATTATACATAATTATACATGATTATACTATATTTATC